TTTTTTAAATAGAGCTAAAAAGAAAAGTAGGATAAACAAATTAACAGTCGTTGAATCCACCTACTATATGCAACCATATTAAATTTAATTGGGTATATATATATATATATATATATATGCTACTGAAAAATGATTTACAAGGCTATATTCTAACTAAGATAAATCAGGTTATAGTTCCTTCGATATTTACAAGCAACGTTACTTAAGTAAATATTGTAAGAATTACTTTGGTTAGAAATATCTCAGGTTCTCAACATGCAATAATATTTAAAGTATATGCCCTACTGAACTATAATGAAGCTCAAATATCTCTTTAACTTTGTTTATATATATTTCATATTTTTATCATATAATATCTATCGAGTTAACCAAAATAAAATTATAAAAGCACAGTTACTGCCTAGGAATAAGAGATTGACCCACTTCCCAATCTTGTTTTTGGTTTTTGGTTTTAGGTGCATTTTTTAGAGATAAAAACAAGATGGAATATTTAAAAAGTTTAATAATTAATGGAGCCACTCAAATTAGCAAAAAATATTATGATACTCCTTCTTAAGATTCAAAGTGGTAATTGTTTTACAAGTTTTTCTAATTTTCACTACAGCAAAAATAATTAGAGCGGCAATAGATATTCACATTAATAGAAAAGTAAAAAATTTATCGATATTAGGCAATTGATATTGGATGTCGCTATAGACTTTAGGAACATATACAAAAAGTGTTAATTGCCTCTAAAAATACATATTTAATTATAATAAGCTATTATCGTTAATTAATTTTCGATAGAAACCCTTTTTTAGGTAGTGTTTAGTGACCAATTTAGACAATTCATTTCAAAAACGGAAAATGGCTCCAAACGTTTGGAAATGATTTAAATTTACCCTCTTTCCGACTATTGAGGAAATGGAACCAAACGTGCCACATATAAAATTTCTTTCGCCCTTAATTAGAAGACTCGACTACTATCATTTGAAATTGAAAAAGTTTTGATAGAGAATATTTATTTATTTATAAGAATCTAATACAACGTGAATTTAAATTAATCAGATCAATAAATTTTGAATATTAATAAATTAAACTATATATATATACACACACACACACACACATTCTAGTAACGTAGAGTTTGTGTTTGCAACAAATTTTAAAGTGAAATAAATAAATTACAATCACAAAAAATTATGAAGAAACATAATTTAATTGATAAATATTGCGGGTACAATTTTGTTCCTCCCTTGATTCTCCTCTCATAAGATAATTATCCATGATTCGAGGGTCGTTAGTGACGTAAGATATTTATCCATGATTCGAGGGCCGTTAGTGGCGTATTTCTCGAACTGAGATGATTTAGATTTGACCTCTATATGAATATTCCATGAATTTTGTGAAATATATCGAGATTCTGATCTTTATGAATTATGAATGTCTCTAGAGTTTATGAGATATTCAGGATTTCTTTGAGAAAGACAACATTTGATGTTTTTCTGATCGCTATTTGATCTTCATAATTAGAGAGTCGTGGCTTATTTCTCGAATTAGGATTGTATGGACTTCCTTAAGATTTATTTGATCTCCATTGATCTTTGTGAATATTCAATGAATTTGCGGAATATTCGAGATACCTTTTAAGTAAATTTAGTACTTTTTTTTATATAGGCATAAACTAGAGTTTAGGGTTGAGTAGCCTCCAAACATTCTAATTGAAACTGAACACACCTTCTAGAGTCTCAATTTAAATTGAACACGTCTTACAGAGTCCCATAAAATTTCAATATCTACGATTGATTTCCTTTGGTAAAGTACAAATTGTTGCATACATCTCTTTAAGATTAAGATATGATTCCATTTCCTTTTTCATGCAAATCCTAGTCATGTCTTGTGGTGAATTTCATAGAAAAAGTGTACAAAACTTTACATTTTGTAACGTAATGGAGATAGATGGTACTTTTGGTATATAGCTACTGCAATTCAACTGAAATCTTGTTTTTGGATTGTTAACCAAATGTATGTGTTCCAAATGGTGGCTCAATCAGAATTAAGAAGCACCAAGACAATAAAGGAAAAATTACCTAGTAAAGTAAAACATCTACACTATATTAATGCACACATTAAATTTTGTTTTGTATCAATAAAATCACTCAGCTTAGATCTATGTGTCAATAAAATCACACAACTAAGATCTATGTATCAATAAAATCACACACCTAAATTTATCACTAAAGAAATTGAGATGGAAAAAAAAATTATTTTTATGTCATGTTCATGATTAAAATAATAAATAAACAGCTCAAAATTACTATTTCATTATAAATAAAATAATAAAGATTAATGGCAATTTTGAAATATTTTAATAGTTTTAACTTTCGTATATTTGTTTCCAATTGAACTTTAATTAATTTTAAAAAAAATCTCTCCTGCCTACTTAATTAAAATATTTCTCTATAGAAATAAAAAATACTCGAACAATCATAGTTATTTTAAAATTTTCTCTCATTTAGTCCATCGAACGTCCCTAACTTTTGTACGTGTATTAATGGAAATGTGAATACAAGAAAATATAAATAAAAATTGTTCTCATCTTATAATGAGTAATTTGTTTGGGGTTCCCTCTCACTCCCAATTTCAGAATCGACGATGATGACGAAGAAAAAATAAAAAATTATGAAAGAAAATATTGGCATTTATTTTTTATTATTTTATTCTATAATGAAATATTTTCTCCGTTCAATTTTATTTGTCACACTTTGACTTGGCTTACCCATTAACAAAATAATTCTCAATATAAGTATTTTACCAAACTATTCCTATTAAATGATGTCTTGAAATGATTTGAATCTCAAATAAGTATTTAATGTTGAGGTGTTGTCTTTTCATGATATGTCAAAAGTGACAAGTAAAAATGAAAATCTATTTTAGGAATAAGTGACAAGTAAAAGTGAACGGAGGGAATAGTAATTTAAGGTATTTATTTATTATTTTAATTATGATCATGATACGATAATTTACTTTGTCGTGCCAATTTTATCTTTTTAATGATAAATTTAGTTGAGTGATTTTATTGATACAAAACAAAGTTCAATGACTTAATTAGATAAATTCACAAAGTTAAGTTACCTTTTGAGATAACAACTCCAAGTTTTTGCCTCTTTAGTCTTATTAACAGTTTGCATAAATTGGGAATCGATGGGGGATTTCATTTTTTCTGCTGTTTTGATCGTCAATGGAGATATACTTATTTGGGGAAAACGAAGAAAAAAACCCTAAAAATCATTAGACTTTTTTTTTGTCTCCAATATCGTGTGTTTATGGTGATGATACAAGTGTATCTTATAAAACAGGGAAAATGGTCAAAAATGACTTTAAACTATGTGAAAAGAAAAAAAATGCCCTTCGTTTGTAGTTTGGTTCAAAAATGTCCTTACCATCAATATTTTGGTTCAAAAATGCCCTTGTAGTCAATACTTTGATCCAAAAATTCCCTTATAGTTACAAAATGGGTCAAAAATACCCTTTTCTGACGAAATATATTATTTTTTTCTTTTTTAAACACATTCTTCCTAATTAAAATATTATTAAAGAGCCATATTCTTGTTTTCTTTCTTTTAAAATCACTTTAACAAATAAAAATGTAGGAAATAATTTTTTCTTCTTAATCTCATTTTATCAATTAAAATAGAATAATTTAATGTACCCTTTTCGACATATAATATATGTCATATATAAAATATCACAATATGTCCATCATTAATTAAAATATATAACGATAAAAAATAATTATAAAAAAATAAGAAATATTTTCAGTTTTTATTTTTTCTGAATTAAAGTAAAGATAAATATTTCCTAATTTTAAAAAAATATTATTAGAAAAAAAGAATGTGTTAAAAAGAAAATACATAATATATTTATTAGGAAAATGAGCAATTTTGACCCATTAAATAACAATAAGGACATTTTTGGACCAAAATATTGACGGCAAGGACATTTTTGGACCAAACTACAAACGAAAGACATTTTTATTCCTTTCGTATAGTTTAAGGACATTTGTTTACCCTTTTCCCTATAAAATATAGTGACATGCAAATGCTTTTGAATGATAGTGATTAGTGGGGGTGGTTTTGTGATAATATAAGCGTATCTAACAATAAACAAATGCTTTGGGTGATCGTGAAAATGATTTTTTTATGACAATACAAATCGAATCGATCGATTCATACCCTAAAGAGAAGATTCTGTTGTCACTCAACAAACTCCCTGAAATAGTGATTCACAATTTTACTCAAAATTAGAAAAGGAAAAAGGATCAGAGACAGCCAGGAATAAGATGGTTCAATTTTTTCCACATCCTTTTTAATTTAGGGAAGTAAATGAAAGTATAGAGCAGGACCGTTTGGCATGATAGAATTAATAGCTATTTTTGGTACATTACAATTTATAGCTTCTGCAATTTTGATTGTATCCGTTACACCGCACTAATATTTGTCTCAAGCAACTGCACCACATTTTTACTGCTGACCACCTACCGGCTCTCATTACAATTTTCCACCATTAATGCAAACTTTAAGTTACAAAATGTAATCAATTATGTGGTACAATTTGATTTGACATAAAATTATATATTTTCATTTTATTTATCTCATAATTTCATGGCCTCTATTAATTTTTTTGCAATTCACATTTGTTTGTAAAATATATCAAAAATGTATTTAAGAGGTTATTTAGTAAAATTATCTTTTAATTTTTTTAGTATACCAATAAAAAGAAAATGATCAACTAATATAAAACGAGAGAGTATAATGAAGTCCCAACTAACATTTTTTTCTTTTACCAAGGTGTGGTAATTGTGCTCAATGTTCAAGTGAAACTCATTTAAAGAGGAATTTTAAAGCAATTAAAGAAGCTTCTCAGTAGCTCCCGCGTGACACCCATCAATAACAAGTTTAGCTTTCTCTTTACTCTAGTTTAGTACTACTAGATTTCAGGCAATCAAATAGCCGAAAAAAACTCCAAATAACTCATTTTGATTTCAAAACATTTTTAAGATCTAAACATATATGGATTAATTAATTGGTACCACAAGTAGTAGTACTAGACAGTTAAAAGTCGTAAACTGACAAAAAGTATTACTAGTACAAGATGAACAGAATGAAGAGGTGAATTGACTTAACGTCCGTTTCTTAGAGGACTAACGGCAACATCCTTGCATGGACTTGGCGGCACACTACTTCTTCCGGTAGCAACAAGGCGTTGCACCAAACCCCCGATTCTCTGTCCGTTAGTCTCCGTCAGTAACCGCTTACCGCCAAATGGCAATGACTCCACTCCTCTTTCTTCTAACGCCTCCTCAACTCCTCCACTTGCATACCCGGTCGCCTGTCCATAATAACACGTCCCGTTATTAACGCTGACACACGTCAACCTTTTCAATCTCATTTTTCTCCCATATTTTCTCAAATACTAATCCCGAATTTGTGCACAATTATAAATGTAACTTTATAAGTAATCTAATTTATTTTATAAAAAATATCAAAGGGAAAGATAAATAAAGAAAATTTTTAAACATTAATCTTGAATTTTGAACCATAAGATGTGAAACAGAGAGTAATATTTTGAAGTGAATTGGGACCGACAATTTCGAGAGTAACAGATTTCCCATTTTAATATATGGAAAAAAGTTACAAATTGTAATATACTTCAGTTTAGAAAGAATTTAATTTTTATCTGAATTAATTTAGATTCAAAGAGAAATTGGAATACCTGAACTCTAACGTAATCATTGGGGTTCCAGCAGAAGGCGTTTCCGAGCATTTGGTCAACGGTTTCAGAAACGCCGTCGAAGACAATTCCGACGACGGATAATGGAGAGCAGTAGCCATCATTTCTCATTTTCAAGTTTGTCGTTGAGTTTAACGGACCGTTACCTAGAGAGAGAACCAATAGGTCATCGACGCCGGTGACGGCAGGAAAATCTCGTTTGTTGTGCAAAACGTGAGTGACGGCTGCAGCAGCGGGATTGTTCATGACGAGACCGCCGTCAACGGCGAGGCAAGAGGTTTTTCCGTCAATGGACTCGAGATTAAACGGCTTGAACATGGACGGATTTGCTGACGTGGCACGGCATACTTTCCATAGATCAAAATCGTAACTGAAGGACTCGATAGCATCAGCTCTGGAGAAGACGAAAGGCGCAGAACTGTTGAGGTCAAAGCACGGTACAAGTAGAGGCTTACACGTGTCCCTCAATGTTAACGCTTTGCCGTCCTCTCTTCTAAACACTTCCTTCAACACCTTCTCCATACTCTTCCCTGAAAACCTCTTCTTACGACGGAGAACACCGACTTTCTTAGCCTTAAAAAGCCTCGACTGATTTTCCTTAACAAACTTCACGGCATCCTTCGCCGTGAACAACGGACGGCCGTCGCCTCCATCAACAACAAGCATTGCAGCGTAGATAGCACCTATACCAGTACCAACAACAATGTCGAAGAAATCAGAAATTCTAACGTGAGGATCACCAGTTTTAGCACAGATCTGGTTTTCGAGATGTATCAATGCAGCACCGGCAACAATGCCGGTAGTTCCACCACCATCAATACTGAGAACACGAGTTTTCTTCCCTTCGTAGTGATACAACCATTTCTGCTCCAGTTTTGAGAAGATTTCCAGCGATATCTTACTGAAGTCCATCACTGAACAAACAGCAAAAGAAGCAAATCAGATCGATGCTGGAAACTCTTCAGAGTGATGGAAATACGTGAAAGAGAAAAAAGCTCACGATATTCTGCGGAGAGGCATTAATGGTGATGAGAAATTGCTGTGAGTATTCCTTTTTTTAATTTTGTTAATTTGTTGTGACTGACAGAAATATAATCTGTGCAGTATGCTCTCCCCACAGTCTGCCAAAAACAGAGAGAGAGTGATGGAGAGTTAAAACAATGGGAAAGGACACACCAAAAAGATAGTTGGTTATACGTTATAAATAACCAAGTTTAGCACTTTCAAGTTTTTTCTACTGCTTCCACGTTTGCTTTTGACTCATAGTGCTAGTTGTTTTTCTCTTTTCTTTTTTTTCCTTCTTTATTCATATTTGGGTGTTACATTATTTTTAGAGATAAGGGTCTGAAAAATATCTCAACTTTGGTCGAATTTGCTATTGCGATACTAAACTTTCATGAGAACCTATTACCTTCCTAGACTATTTAATACCGTATTTTAAACATATATATTTATCCACGTGGACATAAAAAATATGCAAAATTATAAATAGTAATATGTCCACGTGGGCACATATATACCTTTAAAATACACTATTAAATAGTTCAGGCGGTAAAAAATACGATATTAAATAGTCTAGGGAGGTAATAGGTCCTCATGAAAGTTTAGTATCGCAACAGCAAATTCGATCAAAGTTGAGGTATTTTCCAGACCCTTATCCCTTATTTTTACTAGTAAAGTTGTTGTCACCTGTTCAACAAGTTACGAATTCAAATGTTAGAAATAGTCTCTAATAGAAATGTAAGATAAAATTATATATAATAAGTTTTTGTGATTGGGTCTTTTTCGAGATCCTGTATATTAGTGCATCAAATTATTTTACTTGTTATTTGTACTTAATTACTTATCCACTTTTTCTTTTTTTAGTTATCCCTAATTACTTATTCATTTTGACAAATCAAGAAAAGACAATATTTTTACCTATTATACCCTCAATTAATTACATTGAAAAATATATAATTTCTTAAAATATTTAAGTTTTTAATTCATTTACTTCATAATTAATAGAGGTAAAATGATAAATTTACTATATCAATTATTATTTTCTTAATAGATATGAACAATAGGTAGAAGAGAATACTTATTTACTTGTTTTGAGTAGTTTCTATAGTAATTTTTCACATTGAACAATAGTCAGGCTGAGAAAGGGAAAATAAAGATGATTCGATCTATAGGTCTTTTTTGAGTAGTACTATTTAAATAATTAATGTATCTTTTATTTTATAATTATTAAGGGGAGAGTTGAAATTTGAGTGAATGGGTTTGTCCTTTGTATTTTTGTTGATTAAAAAAAGAATAAAGGTCACGTGTTTCCGCGGAGGATGCACGTCCAAAAGACGTGCTTTCATCGGATTCCGGGGTAGTGACAGTCTTTTCATTTGTTTGCTATTTCTATTTTGTTTCTGTATTGTTTATTTGTTTGACCTTTATATGCTTTTTTTTTTTTCTCTCTCCCTAGCTACTATTAGTACAATTAAATACGTACTCAGTAAGTTTTATTGAACGGCGAAAAAGAAGTTAAAATGAAATACATATGTGAGTAGCTTGTTCAATATGGTTTTCCTTACCAAGAAAGATGTGATAGAGTGGCCGGTAAATACTTTTTTATTTTTAATTATAGTTATCAGTTTATTAGGTTTGAGTATTTTCAAGTACTATTGAGTCGTCATTGTTAATGTGAGACTTTTCGACACATATCTGAATTTAAATTCAATGAATAGCGAATCGAAAAAAAGTTATTAATTTTTTGATTATTTTTAACTAGAAATTTAAAATTCGTACAAACAGAAAGAATACTGTTAGTTTTGATATAAAACGTACATAAAACCAGAGAATAGCTAGCAGTGATTAAAAAAATGTACTAATTGAGAAAGTTTTTACATTAGGAACTACTTCAACAATTGAACAGAAAACCTTTCACATCATAATTATATCATATTGATACATTAGGTGTGTATCCTTTCAACAACACACAACAAGATCATAATTATCTCATTGGACTATTTCAGCCTTTGGACTGCCAAATAATTAATTAGAATTGTGATTAATTATTTATAAAAAAAAACTAATTGTTATTAATTATGTTTACTTAAAAGAGTAAAAAAGACAAAAGCGATAAGTTATTTTTTTAATAAAGCGCGTTAATTAGCTTTGTTTAGATCAGATTATCCTAACAAGGACGTGCGTGCCAATAAACAAAACGAGAATTGTCTGCCTTGCCTCTTGCTCTCAAATTCTTAATTTTTTTCTTCTCAAACATACTTGTCACATTTCATTTTTCTACTGTGTTTTGATATACCATTTTCTCATGTTTGAGTGATTTATCGGAATTAATATCTAGGTAAGAAATTATTTTCCTAGAAAATATTATCTACTCTCTAACTATAAATAAAAGATATTTTCTAGAAAATTGCTTTTATTCATCAATCAAACACTAGAAAATATTTCAACCATTAGAAAATAAGTTAGAAACCAACTAGTTTTCTAAGAAAACATATTCCATGAAAAATATTTTTCCTCCTTACCAAACACTAATTTGATTAATTTTCAAAGTAAAATAAGATTATAATAATTTAATATTTTGAAAAGTAACAAAAAATTCTATAAATTGCAAATTTCCATGTAGTTTAATTCTTGAAAAGCAAATTAATTATATAACTCACTACTAGTATTTCAATGAAAATTCATTTTTCACCATGGGTTATCTCAGTGACCTGGTTCGATATGAATAGGGTCAGAAAATCATGTCTTACAAGATAATTTTTTGATTAATTCGCGGTGGAAAAAATCTTTGTTTCTAGTAGTGAGTATTTGGGGACGGAAAGAGTAAATTTTTGTTACTTGTTACTATAGTAACAATCTCCTTTTTCCCAAGCAATTATATTTGTCATTACTTTGGGAATGGTAACTAAAAACAGTATAGAATAATTTTTATGTACGTAAAATCTTATACCATTTATCTTCCTTTACAATATATATAAAAATTTATTGATCCAATTAATTCAAACTTTAGGCCGATTACAGTGTCAATCAATCATAGGTAGTACTCAGAAGTCATTGCAAGTTTCACAAAATCAGAAGCCTGTAGTCTCGTAAAATTTGGTCAAGTAATGCTATTTTCACTGCTACAAGTTGAAGTATTAGTGGCTGTTATAGCACCTATACCTTGTTTGGCACCTCATTTCCCTTGTGAATAACTATCTTTGATGGAAAAAGACTTTGAAGTCAATGATATGATTGTGGTTCGATGATTGACATCCCTCCCGACCTCTATTTTTAATCAGATCTCTCGTATTTGAGCTTATAGAAATGAAATTTTGTTTATTGAGAGTGTTGTCATAAGAAATAAATTCTTTAATATTGAAATTTTGATTTAATCAGATTCTAATATGAATATCGGACTACGAATGAGGAAAATAATTAAAGAGAGACTTTGAAGTCTAGCAAAAGTTAGGTAATTGCTGATGTTTATCATACATTGTTAGGTAATGTTTGGTCTTTAATTCATGCGTGCTATAATTAGTAGGAGAGCTATTAGTTTTCAATTGTAATGGTGATGACTAATCATCATGTAACTAATTAACAATTAAGAGTATATGAAAGCTATCTCATTGATCTTAGACATCACTTATTGCGTGTGACCAAATTTTACTAAGACGGATACATATAGGGGACTAAATAATTACATTATTTTTTGTTGTTTCTTCACAATCAAGTATGTTTATAAAACAATTAGTCACTTTCATTTTTTAAATATAACTTTTTACTCCGAAAATTATGGTTTATATTTTATAAAGATTCCTAAGATTAGACAAAGTTTCACGATGTAAATTGGATAAAAGACAGTACGCAAACTTTATTTAGAGTTTTGCTTAACTACTTATTAACCATCATTTAACTTTTTACTTTAATTGCGTAACGAATCCTCAAATTTCCTAAAGCAAATGCAAGTTTTTGACCCCATAAAATTGGCATTTATCAGTAGTAGAAAAGGATTTAATTAATATAACCAGAAATACTAAAAAGTTTCCAAAGTATAATAGTGATATATAGAGCCGTCTAAATGGGCTTAGTACACGGGGTCGGTCCAACCCAATTTGTTACTGTGATAGAGTTGAGGTAAGATTTTTCAAGCCCATTTAAAACTAAAATTTATAAGCCCGATCCTTATAAGCTCTTGGCCCTTGAGATTTGATCGGGGTCGGCCCATGGGCCAGAACATTTATTTAAGAGTAACTTACAAAAACTCATATATGAGCTTATTACTTAAATGCACGCTATGTTGTAATATTACGAATCTTACCAGATTTTGATACGTCTAGATATATGTATCTCGGGATACATGGACTCAAAATTAGATTAATTTGTTCTAGATACACTTTATCCACTTGGATTCGCATGTATCTAGGATACATAGACAAGTCATGTGCCCTCACATCCCTCCCATTTCGCTTGCCCCTCTCTTATCTCGCTCGCGTATCTATGATGCGTCACACCAGATACATGCATCTCGCGTATCTAGTAATCTAGATACATGCTAATCACACTAGATTATTTGCTAGTATTATTGAAACAACACCATTGTTTGCCATATTTGATTTGAAAATTTTCTCATTTCTTAATGTTATAGAACTTCAAGTTTGAAAAGAAAAAAATGAAAAATTGGGCCCTTCTAGGGTCGGATTGGATTGAGCATTTTCAGGCCCTTCCAAATGAAGGTCCGGCCCTCCCTACCCCCATCAAATTCCTTGGCCCGCGAGGGGCTTAGTTGGCCATTTTTTACAACTCTAATGATATATATTGGTTGGCAAAAACTTACATATACCCGATTAATTTTTAGGAATTTTTATAATCTTTTTAAAATCAAATAAACAACGTAACAATCAAGTGATAAAACTATGGTGAGAGTATCTTGGAATTAACCATGGTTAAATTAATAAATGTATGCAAAAATAATTGTGTCCTCCATTCATTAATTTGATACTCCTAATATCAATTGTGAATGTTTAAGAATATAATTTTAAAGGGGAACTTTAAAAAATTACTATAGTTTGGACTTAATTAGAGATCTAGCTGTAGTTTTACTTAATTACGAATTATAGCTACATGATAGGGGGGGAGAGGCGAGCTTGGGACTAGGGCTTATGATCCTTCTCTTAACGGTAGAAGAAA